AATTCCTCGTGATGAATAAATAGTATTCGTACCCAGAGACAGATTCTCAAAGTTGTGGACTAGTAGAAAGAATTCGGTCAAATTTACTCCAAAATAAATATTATTGATTATTTTAATAGAAGAACAAGGAAAGAGCATCACTTCCTCTTTAAGCATGTTATATAATGCCACATAGACTTATTTGAGGTAAGACAATGGACCCAAAACATGTTGCAATAGTCTCAGAATAGTCAGGACCCCAAAAAGTACCATATACGGTGTAAAATGGCAAGATAGGTGGAAAAATGCCTAAGGGTTGTATTTTGAACGAATTTTATATTAACTTTCTCCTTGTCTTGATGCAAAAATGATGAAGGGAAATGGAAGAAACAAGTGTATGATTAGATGAAAGATAAGTATATAGTTGGATGAAAAATACTTGTATGGTTGGATTAAAGACATGTGACTTGATTATGTAACTATAATGTTACTAAGATGATGTAAGCATAATGTCATAGGGACACTTGTCATCACAAGACAAAGAAGAAAAATGGACGGTTAAGATTAAGCCACATATTTTCAAGATCAATTGCTAGAATTTGTTCTTAAACTCTATAAATACCCCTCCCCTCCCCTCATTTCATCCTAAGCTTATGAAAACCATAGGAAAACTCTTGCAAAATGAATTCTAGAGAGAGAAAGAAGAAGGGGAGAGAAAGACTAAGTGATCCCATGCAAGATCAAGCTCTAAAACAAGGTATTTGCTCCACATATACTGCAGTGAGGATTGTCTTGTGACTTCCTAGCATAGCGAACACTGTTAGTCAATAAACAACCCTATAGACAAATCCATATGAAGATCCTACAGCATTATGGCACTCATAATTTCCAAACCTTACACCACATTCCCTGATTAGATGTATATGAGTGATCCCTTAGAAGCCAATAGGCTGATCTTAGTGAAAACAAACCATCATGCACAGCAACCCATATGGGCATATCATTGTCCATACTTCTAGAATGCAGGGAAACTCAGGCAATGGCTTGTAGAAATGCACTTGGCAAAATACCTTCTAACTTCGCCCATCCCAACCTCTTGACACAGAAACGAAATTTGCCACACAGTCCTAACAAGCTGTTTCATCAATATTGTATGTAGCATACTTTAAAAGAGGCCCATGGTGGGGAAGCCAACAATCCTCCTAGAAATGAATTTGCTGACCATTACCCAATCTCCAGCCTAATCCCCTACAAGTCATTTCCCACACATTCTTAATACCACCCTAAGCACAAGAGCCCTTCTTCCCCACAACAATCTTAGGTAGGACGTCACTACCACAATTATACTTCACACAAATGAATCTCACCCGCAGGTCATCTCTACGTTTAACTCAGCCCCACCCAAGCTTCATCATGTAGGCCAAGTTTTGTTTTTGAGCTTGTCGGAGTCCAAGACCTCCATCTTCCTTTTGTCTACACACATCATCCTAAGCTACTAAAGGCACCCTTCTTGAAGACCCATGACTACCCCATAAAAAGTTCCTACACCTTTTATCTATCTCGTCGCAAATATACACTGGTAAAGGCGTAGATTGCATAATATAAGAAGGAATAATAGTGACTGTAGACGAGACCAACGTATGATGAGTAGTAATGGATACCATATTTGTTTTCCATAAAGCAAGGTGGCTGTCCATCTTATCCAACACAAACTGGTACGTACGCTTAGACACTTTTTTATGGTATAGAGGTGTGCCTAAGTATTTTTCTAGATCAGACATTTGGGTAGACCCCAAAAATGAGCTAATTTCTTGTCTTCTAACATGATGAATATTGTCCAAGAAAAAAATACAAGACTTAGTATTGTTAACCTTTTCTCTTGATGCCAAACAGAAATCATCCAAACGCGCCTTAATAAGACCTGCCTGCTCCATATTAGCTTTCGCAAAAAGAAGTAAATCATCAGCAAAGAAAAGGTGTGAAACCCCTATGCCATTCTTCTTTAATTAGAAAGGAAGCCAATCACCCGTCTTCACCTCATGTTGGATTAGATGTGCAAGTTTCTCCATAACCAGAACAAACAAATATGGGGAAAGGGGATCCCTTTGCCTTAAGCCACGCAAAGGGTTGAAAACAGCACCCTTAGACCCATTCCAAATCACCTGCATATCAGCCGAGCACAAACAATGATGAACCATATCTATGAAGGAGGTTGGGAGTCGTAACTCTTTTAGCCAATTTGTGACAAAATCCCAACAAACACAGTTATAGGCTTTCTCAAGATCAATTTTCAGCACCATGAACCCCTTCCTCTTCCTACTACTTCGTATAGCATGAATAATTTCATGTGCTAGGGTAATATTATCACAGTTTTGTCTACCAGGGACAAAACTACACTGATTTGGAGACACCATTATTGGTATAACTTGTTTCAAGCAATTTGCTAGGATTTTCATCACCACCTTATAAATAACATTACACAAGCTTATAGGTCAAAAGTCACGAAAATTCTCAAGAACCTCTATATTGGGAATTAAAACAATATTTTTGCCATTCATCCGGCTAATCTCTTCTAGATTACGAAAGAATTTATAAACCAATCCCACCATATCACTGCCCACAGTATTCCATTGACTCTGATAAAACAAAGGATTTAAACCATCAGGACCTGGTGCCTTCAAAGTACCCATACTAAAAATCGCTTGCTTTACTTCGTCTACAACCACATCCGTCCCCATAGTTTGTAATACCCCTTGTTCCACCTTTTGGGAAAGTGTTACCGAAAATAACATTTTGGCTACACACCTTATCAATATTATAAAGATTCTGGAAAAATTACATACCCGCTTCTTTAAGAATCTCCTGATCATAACAACTTCCCCATCCAACTCATCCCATAATTCCGTATGTCTTCTTTTATGATACGTGCTTTCCGAAGAAATCCGATTCAACCTTTCCAACTTCTTTAGCAAAATCGCCTTAAGTCTATTAAATATTCCCAAAAACCTGCATATTCTAGTTTACTACATCATCCCGAAACTGAGCTACATTCTCATCCCAGCTACGCAAACGTCGCCATGCATTTCTCAAAACCTCGGTGAAACCTTCATGAGTTACCCATGGCACGAAGAAACGAAATGGTCTGTCCACCTTCCCTCCTTCCAGACAATCATTTAAACGAAGCAACAAAGAATAGTGATCTAATTTAAACTTCGACAGGTGTAGTACCGATGCCTACGGAAAATTAGTACACCATCTGGAGCTAGCAAGGACATGATCTAATCTACTTTTTGACCCCCCACACTCCCAAGTAAAGGAAGGGCCCTAAAAAGAAAGCTCCACCAAACCACCATCACAGACCCATTTCCCAAACTCATGATTTGGTCTTATCTTATTTCGGGCAATCGAAACTGTCTCTTCATTCCTCAAAGCTACATTAAAATCCCCTCCAATACACCACCTTTCCCCCACCCTACCATGAAGGTCTTGAAGATGTTGCCAGAGAAAGCGACGATGTGCTGGGTTAGGAAAAGCAAAGTATTCATTGGTACTACTTAGTTTAAAAGAAAACTCCAAAATCATTTTAAAATTAGATATGAATCGACTAAAATTATATAGAAGGGCATATTCTCTCTAGTCACTTTTTTCTCCTTTTTTTATTATTCTAATACTTAATATAGGAGCTTGTTTGATATTTAATTTATTTTTAAATATGAGACCCAATTCATTTTGTCTATCATATTTATCTATTTATTCTCAAGGTCATCCTTGTATTGGGTGTACATGTTAAATGTTTCATTAAATAGTAATTCTAGGTAATACACATGATTGGTAAGGGTATCTTAGGGAAAACAATATTTATTCATTATAAATAGCTAATTTAACTAATTTACTACTCAAATTAGTCAACTAACAAAAGTAGTAAATATTTATATCAAGAAAACTAATATCTTGACAAGCATGTTGCATGTGAAGGGGGGGAAAAACGATTGAAGTGTTCTTCTATCTTCGTTTTTTTTTTTTAAATTAACTGAAATTAACATAGGTTTAGTAATTTCTTAATACTACCTTCGGTCCTTAATATAAGAGCTAATTGACTAAATTGAGTAGATTAAAAAAACTAGTTAAGTTAGTTATTTATAATAAAGAAATATTGTCTTTCTTAAAATATCATTACTAATCAAGTATACAGGTTAGAACTATTATTATTATAAGAATTACTTTAGGAAAAAATGAATAAACATGAGAAATAAAAAGAATTGAAATTTTATATTTAATACTAAAATAAAAGTCAAATAAGTTTTTATATTAAGGACCAAAGGTAATAACTGGTTATTAAAGCTTTTTGGATTTTTTTTGTCTTATGAAACTAAGCAGTAAAAGTGAATACTACAACAAATCATTCTTAATCTTTCATAAATCTTTATGATATGAATGAGTCGTTGAAATATCATTTTAATCACGATGATATTATCACAATGTTATTTTAAAATTGTCATTTTTTAATATGAAATCTCAGGTCTAAATCAATGAGTCCAAAATATGATGCTTGAAATATTAAATATTACTCCTCCGGTCCTTAATATAAGACTCATTTAATTAATTTGATTAGATTAAAGAAATTAGGTAAATTAGTTAATCATAAGAAAAGTGACACATTTGTCCTAAAACACCATAATCATCTTTCTTAATACCACATCTCCTTCTTTTACATGATTATGATTGAAGAAATATTCATAGGGGTAATTTAAAAAAGATTGATAAATATGAGAAATGAATCTTATATTTAGAATCAAAATCAACTCAAAAATTAGGTCTTATATTAAGAACCGGAAGAGTAGTATATTACACTATAAAATGAGTTTTATATTTAGTACTGAAAAAGTATTACATAATCAAAAATCATAATCTTATTTAACTTCTGTGATTACTTTTTAAATTAAAATTAAAAATACTGCAAGAATGATGAGAGGAATTTTCTAATTGAATTAAAAACTTCAAAGCATTTTGCGAGAAGCATATTTTGTACCAAACCTCATGAGAGCAAACTGTATTATTTACTGTAAGCTTTCTCATTTGTATCCTCTTTGCAGATCGAACAGCAAAAATTCGTCAAATGTGACATAACCTGCCACTCTCATTTCAAGATCTAAATTATCCAACATACAAACAATATCTTTATAAAGATGGTGGCTCCTATCTTCCATGAGAAAAGCATCTTGCTTTCCATTCACCTCAACCACACTATATCCAGGGACCTTTTTCACTCCAGACATATTCATGATCTTCTTCACTTCAGCCACTTCATCCCATTTACGCGCCTTGGCAAAGAAATTAGAGACCAAAGTGTATATTCCAGGATCATCTGGATTCAACTCAAGAACCTTCTTTGCCACCTTCTCTCCAATAAAAAATTTGTCATACTTGTAGCAACCACCAAGTAGGGCAACCCATACAGCAACCGCAGGTTCAATTTTCATGGAATCTATTAGTTTTAGAGCCTCTTCAACTTGGCCTGCACGAGCAAGGAGATCAATCATGCAAGCATAATGCTTCTCATCTGCAGTTATCTTGAATTTATTGATCATGAGATCAAACCAGTACCGACCTTCTTGCACAAGGCCTGAGTGGCTTAAAGCTGAAAAAAGAGCAGTAAAAGTTGCATGATTTGGTTCTGTGTTTAATTCTATCATCTTTTGGAACAGTGATAGAGCTTCCTTCCCATTCCCATGGATTCCATATGTGGAAATCATCGCATTCCAAGAAACCACATCCTTAAATCTTATCTGATCAAAAAGGGCACTTGCAGAAGAATGTGATCCACATTTAGAATACATATCAATAACTGCAGTTCCAGAGACTCGCTCAAAATCTAGTCTCTTTATAATGTATCCATGGATGGATTTTCCCAACTTGAGACAACCAAATTGTGAACAAGCAAGAAGTGCACTTACAAGACAAACAGAGTCAGGTTTAAAGCCTAGACCTTGCATCTCTACTAACAATTCAAGTGTGTTTCCCGCAAAACCATTTTGAGCTAAGCCTGATATCAAAGCAGCCCAAGATATGATATTTTTGTTAGGCATCATTGAGAATACTTGAAAAGCAAGTCCTAGATGTCCTGTTTTAGCATACATATCTACAAGACTGGTTTGGATTACAACATCCATTGGTATGTCTTGCCGAATTAAATACCCATGAACTGAGAGACCCAATCTAGAGTCACCCAAATTTGCAATAGCTTGAACCAACCCCAGCATGACAACCCCATCTCCATCCATCCCCTCATTTTGCATTTTTCTGTAAACATCAAGAGCTTCCATTGCTCTTCCACACTGAGCAAAACCAGATATCATAGTCGTCCAGCAAACTAAATCCTTCCTTGGCATTTTCTTGAACAGTTCCATTGCTTCATCCATCTTCCCACACTTTGCATACATATTCAATGCGGAACACTCAACAAAGACATCATTTCCATACCCACAATCCACAGCTTCACTCCAAATCTCCTTCCCTATTTTCAAATCGAGCAACCTAGTACATGCCTTCAACGCCACTGTAAAAATGGAACTGTCAGGTTTGACTCCTTCCAAAATCATCCTATGGTAGAGATTTAGAACTTCATCTTGGTATCCTTCACGAGAATATGAAACAATCATAGCATTCCATGCATTAATGCCTCGTTGAGACATTTGGTTGAACACTTGGCGGGCTGATGTGATATCACCAATACGTACATAAGATGCTATGAGCTGCCCACCAATGTTATTTTGGGTGAAAGTACCAGCCAAGATTATCAAAGCATGAAGCTTAGCAATTGAAGCCTTTTCTTGACATGCCAAGAGAAGAAGTTTGAAGTGATTAGTCCATGGATGCAGCAATCGCATGTCGAAGCTTAAAATGATAGCAACCTGTGTTACAATTTCTTTCAAGAACAAAGTTCATGATAGACATTCAGAATAAATGAAGTGTAAGAGCTTAATGCGTAATGACTTGCTATAAATTTCTTACAATCATCATGTATCGACATATTATATAAAGGGAAAAATGGTGAGACTTAATACTCACGGAGTCCCCCCCCCTCCTGATCACTAGCTTCTCATAAAAAAATTCACTCCAAAATAATGATCTCACGACCTCATAATTAACAAATAATCAAACCAATCACCCATCAAGTTCATCAATTTAAATGAAATGATATTAAACTCTTTATCAAACCCAACTGTAACAAGAAACTTCAATTTTTGTAATATAATGATTCGAAGCAATATATGTTTAAAATTTCCCATATTCCTGACAGAAAAATTGGCAATTCTCTCTTGCAAACTAGAGTAATGATGAAACCGGGGTTACTTCCGTTAAAGCTTTGGGAAGTTTGAGGAAAAAAAAGAAGAATCATGCAATTGATTGTTAAAGCAAGAGGAGCAAACAAATACAAAAGGGATACTGGTTAATCTAACATCAGAAAACATGAGCGCGCGCGCGCGCGGATGCAGAAGGGTACTGGTTAAGCTAACATCAGAACACACACACATATGTATATATAGATCTTTTTTCTTTTTTTGACTGAAATGTATATATAGATCTAACACAAAGAAAAGTAACAATCAACGCACGGCGAGGGGAGAGGGTACTGGTCGGTGGTCGCCGCTGGACAGAGGACAGCGTCACAGACTCACGGCAAGGGTACTGGTCGCTGAACTGGTCGACGCCGACGAGGGGGAGAGGGGAGATGCGGAGATGGAGCAGCACTGCTTCACGCTGGTGGTGGTCGCTTGTGAAGCTGCTCAAGTCGATTGTCAGCCGCAGAGAGGAGGCTAGGCCTTAGAGTACGTTTGGTACTAAGGATTTGGAGGGGAGGGCGGAGGGGAGGGCTTTAATCATTTTTTTTCATTTGGTGAGATAAAAATTTGGAAAAATGACAAGAAAATGACTGTTGAATTCTAAAATGACAAAATGGGCATGTAAATTACTGAAATGACAAAATGGGCATGGGGTATCAATCTGGAATTTGAATAATTCGCCAAAAAGACTGAAATGCCCCTGAATCAGTCTGAACTCATGAAGACAAAGGCATGACACGTAACATGAGGGAGAGATGAGAAGCTGAAAACGGAGGTGGAGCAGAGTCGAACGCTGAGAAGACGGAAAAGGTAAGGAAAATTTCTCCTAAAATGTTGTTATCTACTCCTCCAACTCTCACCATTGTACAAATCTGATTCATTACGGTGGAATTGCTTTGTGGGCAACCTGGTTTGTAGTGAGAGAGGGGTTGAACGTGGGTATTACGTAAGAAAGTGGAGCTTAATGATGGGTTTGGGTTTTCAAGTCGGTTTACTGGTACATGGTCTAATGGGGATGGGTTTATGAGTGTAGATGGTTTAAATGAAGAATCTGACCAGGATGAGAGAGTGATACATCGGAAATGAAAAAATGGTGGGAACTGATAACGTGGGCATGAAGATTGAGGGCTAACAGTAAGCATGAGGTGGTCAGTGTTGTCAAATTCATTATTGGAATTGTGAAATCCCATATTTAAGTTGTCAATGTAGCAAGTGTGCGCGGACGTATTTTGGGTGTTGCATTTTTTGTGAAATCGCAAGAAAAGTTTCGAAATCCTGATAAATGAAATTGATTATTGGGGAACTAAAATATTGATTTATGCTTCTGTGGTGCAGGTTAGGTAGCTTTGATGACATCTAACATTGGGTCAACATCTTCAAAGCGTCTTGCTTGTTACTTTCATGTGGGTGGGAAGTTTGCAGAAAATGGTGATGGTGAAGTTAAGTACTATGGTGGAACTGTCAGGGTAAGAGTGATCAAGGAGGGTATAAGGCTTGAAGATTTGAGGGTTATGATAGGAGAATGGTTTGGTGTAGATAGTAATGGTTGCGACATTAAATACACATTGGGCTTGAATGATAGGATATTAATAGATCTTATTGATGATGATGAAGTTGACAACCTATTTGAGTATAATGATAGTAATGCACATGTATACGTAGCAGCTAAAGGTAATGAGAATACGGAGGAAGAAGTGGCTGATCGAAACAGGTAAGTCACAAGTTTCGGATTATGGAAGTTGTTACTTGCGATAATGTTGTTGTTAATATCATAACAAATGTTGTAATTATACATGCAGCATGTCAAAATTGTCAGGACTGTCACAGCAAAATGATGAGCCAATGATTGAGGATGCTGTCGAATGTGTGAATTACATAGCAGCTGAAAATGTTCTTAGCCTGCCATATGCAGTAGAGAGTGCACCAACTCCTTTGCCAGGAATGAATTCCCTGAAATGGAAAACAGTATTGTTAGGATTGAGGCAGACTTTTCCAGATGCGGATGATTTCAAGAAGAAACTACACAAATTCAGCATTGCAAACAAATTTGAGTATAAATATGTGAAGAATTCTAATGCCCATATGTATGTCAAATGCAATGTTGAAGGTTGTCCATGGAGGATCAGTGCAAGAGCAGCTGTAAAGAGTACTCCAGCATTTTTACGTGTAACGACATTCAAAAATGAGCATGTTCATAATGCCCAAGACAATCTTCATGTGACACATGGTAGATCAGCTAGCTTGACATCATCAATTATAATTGAAGAGGTTAGGGATCATATAGACATGCGTCCAAATGATATAAAAAAGAGGTTGGAAAGAGATTATGGTGTGAAGTTGACATATAAGCAAGCATACAGGGCCAAGGAAAAAGCGTTGGAGGACATACATGGCAGACCTGATCATTCTTACATGCTTATTCCATGGATATGTGACCGGTTGAAGGAAACCGATGACAAAACAGTGGCAAAATGGGTGGCTGCAAGGAACAACAGATTTGAGCGTGTATTCATAGCCTATGGGTGTTGTATAGAGGGTTTTATTGCTGGTGCTAGACATGTACTGTATATTGATGGAAGTCATTTAAGTGGACCGTATAAGGGGACACTACTTTCAGCGTCGGCTTATGATGCGGACAACGAATTATTACCTTTTGCCATTGCGATTGTGAAGGGAGAGACGCTTGAGGATTGGACATGGTTCTTACATATGATCAAGGAGATAATTGGGTCAATGCAATTAACAATCATTTCAGACCGACACAATGCAATTATAGGTGCTGTGCAAGCAATATTCGGAGGTGAGCGACATGCGTACTGTTACAGACATGTTAAGGAGAATTTCAGTACACAAATGATCAAGTTAAATAGAGGAAGAAGGAAGACAAGTGGCAACACAAGGGAGGATGGACTGCATTTCCTAGATGCCATTGCATATGCAAGGCTTGACACAGAGTTTGATCAAGCAATGGATAACATGAGACACTTCAATTCCCAATTATTTGAATGGCTTGTCAATCATGGTGATATTCACAAGTGGGCCTTAAGCAAGTTCCCTTTTAAACGATGGGACAACATAACAACAAACCTTGCAGAGTCATTCAATGCGTGGATGCTGAAGGAGAGAAGATATAATGTTGCCCAACTTATACATGAGCATCGTGAAAAAGTAGCCAAGAAGATGTATGCAGCAAGCATGGCAATGAGCAAATGGAAGAATGGTGTAGGCCCAAATACAAATGCAACATTGATGGAAAATGTGGCGAGATCTGCACAGATGTTAAGTGTTCCTTACGGAAGGGGTAGGGTGTGTGTCCATACAGCAAAAGGAGCCATTAATGTTGATCTTGGAAAAGGTGAATGTAGTTGTGCAGCTTGGCAAATGTCAGGCATCCCATGCCCACATGCATGTGCAGCTATCAAGGCCTTGAATTGCAATGTGTATGATTTTGTTGAAGAATGCTACAAGATTACGTCCCAACAAAAGATTTATGGTAGGACGATGACTCCAGTGGTGACAATCGACATGCCAAATCCTAATAACTATCGGCTGCAAGATATAGCAAGTCAAGTGTTTTTGGCACCACCTTTGACTAGTCGACCACCTGGAAGGCCTAGGATAAATAGGCAAGAGTCGCAGTTTCAAAACAAGAAGGTCTACCATTGTAGTGCATGCCAGCAAGTTGGCCACACAAGAAGAACATGCAAGAATCCAAACCCAACTTAAGGTTTCATGTCAATACCAACAGGGGTAATTTTTTTGTTATAGGAAAGGAATGACTCTTGAACCCTTTTTAATTTTTTTGGGAGAAGGGTTGATAGGTAGGCTATCTTTTTTGTTAATGATGTTAACTGGGTAGGAGATGTTCTGTAATCTGAATGACAAGAAAACATTAGGCGGTAGGTTAATCCTAATGTTAACTTGTCATTTGGATATCAGTTATGTAGCTTCTGTCATGGGCCTACTGGTTTTTAGTAAATATCATTACGTCAGTGGTCAATTCCATTACAGATATAGTAAAGTCTGAATGTTAATGTAAAAATCGTATGATGGGTAGGCTATCCTTTTTGTAAATGATATTCACTGGGTAGGATATGTTTTGTAATGTGAATGGGGACGAAACATTAGGTAGTGGGTTAATCTTACTGTTAACTTGTCATTTGAATATAAGTTATGTACCTTCTGTGATGGGCCTACTGGTTTTTGGTAAATATTGTCACTTCAGTGGTAAATTCAATTACACATGTAGTAAAGTCTAAATGTTAATGCAGACATCCTATGATGCGTGAGTTTGACTTAAAGGAACCGGAAATGGGAAAAGTAGACTGGTAAATGTCATAACGGAAGTTGCAATTAACATTTCCAATGTTGTCATTATCATTACGGGGGTAGTACAATTTCCTGAAGAATTTGATGCGTGGGTCTCAGTTAAGGGAACCGCAAATGGGAAAAGCAGACCGGTAAATGTCATTACTCAAGTTGCAATTAACATTACCCATGTTGTCATTATCATTACGGGGGTAGTACAATTTCCTGAACAATTTGATGCGTGGGTTTCAGTTAAGGGAACCGCAAATGGGGAAAGCAGAGTGGTAAATGTCATTACTCAAGTTGCAATTAAAATTACCCATGTTGTCATTATCATTACGGGGGTAGTAAAATTTCCTGAACAATTTGATGCGTGAGTTTGACTTAAAGGAACTGGAAATGGGAAAAGCAAACTGGTAAATGTCATAACGGAAGTTGCAATTAACATTTCCAATGTTGTCATTATCATTACGGGGGTAGTACAATTTCCTGAAGAATTTGATGCGTGGGTCTCAGTTAAGGGAACCGCAAATGGGAAAAGCAGACCGGTAAATGTCGTTACTCAAGTTGCAATTAACATTACCCATGTTGTCATTATCATTACGGGGGTAGTACAATTTCCTGAACAATTTGATGCGTGGGTCTCAGTTAAGGGAACCGCAAATGGGAAAAGCAGAGTGGTAAATGTCGTTACTCAAGTTGCAATTAACATTACCCATGTTGTCATTATCATTACGGGGGTAGTAAAATTTCCTGAACAATTTGATGCGTGGTTTGACTTAAAGGAACCGGAAATGGGAAAAGCAACTGGTAAATGTCATAACGGAAGTTGCAATTAACATTTCCAATGTTGTCATTATCATTACGGGGGTAGTACAATTTCCTGAAGAATTTGATGCGTGGGTCTCAGTTAAGGGAACCGCAAATGGGAAAAGCAGACCGGTAAATGTCGTTACTCAAGTTGCAATTAACATTACCCATGTTGTCATTATCATTACGGGGGTAGTACAATTTCCTGAAGAATTTGATGCGTGGGTGTCAGTTAAGGGAACCGCAAATGGGAAAAGCAGACCGGTAAATGTCGTTACTCAAGTTGCAATTAACATTACCCATGTTGTCATTATCATTACGGGGGTAGTACAATTTCCTGAAGAATTTGATGCGTGGGTGTCAGTTAAGGGAACCGCAAAT